GCAGAATCATCTTCTCATTTCCTTTGCTTTGATCTCATGGTCAGATATTATGTTCTGGAAATTCTGTGCATAGGAATCAAAATGCCCCTAAATGGTTATGATCACTTCAATAGATGCAGAAGAATCATATGACAAAACTTAACATCACCTGATGATAAAAACTCTCAATATATTCAGTATTAAAGGAATACACCTCACTGTAATGAAGGGCTTACATGATAAGCCCACAGCTTATCATGAACAATAGTGAAAAACTGAAAACTTTCTTCCCAGGATCAGGGAAAAGGCAATGATTCTCACTCTAGCAGCTTCTATTCAACATACTACCAGAAAACCTAGATAGAGAAATCAGGCAATAAAAACAAATAAAAGGCATCCAAATGGGAAAGGAAGAAGTAAAATTATTTGTTTGCAGTTGACATGACTTTATATATAGAAATCCCCAAATACTCCACCAACATTATTAGAACTAACAAATGATTTCAATAAAGTAGCAAGATACAAAATCAACATACAAATCAGTTGGGTGTTTGTATGCTAACAATGAATTATCTGAAAAAGGAATTAATAAAATAATCCCATTTATAATACCATCAAGATAATAATATATTTAGGAATAAATTTAACCAAGAAGGTAAAAGATTTGTACACAGAAAGCTATAAAACACTGATGAAAGAAAGTGAAAATTATGATAAATAAATGGAAATATATCCTCTGTTCTTGGATTGGAAGAATTAGTATTCTTAAAATATTCATACTGCTAAAAATGATCTAGAGATTCAATACACTTCCTGTCGATATTCCAATGGGCTTTTCACAGAAATAGGGGGAAAAATCTTAAAATCTACATAAAACCATAAAAGACCCAAAATAGTCAAAACAGTCTTCAAAAAGAAGAATGAAGCTGACGGTATTATATTTCCTGATTTCAAAATATATTACAAAGCTATGGTAATCATAACAGTATGGTACCATCACAAACACAAACATATAGACCAATAAAACAGAAAAGATAGCTAAGAAATAATTCTGATTTTACAGCCAACTGGTCTTTGATAGGGTTATCAGGAATACTCAGTGGGTAAAGGAAATTCTCTTCAATAACTGGTGCTAGCAAAATTAGATATCCACACATGAAATAATGAAACTAGACCCCTATCTCACACTATAAACAAAAATCAACTAAAATTTGATTGAAAACTTAAGTTTAAAATCTGAAACTATTGGGCTGGGGATGTGCCTCAAGCAGTAACGCGCTCACCTGGCATGTGTAGGGTGCTGGGTTCGATCCTCAGCACCACATAAAAATAAAATAAAGATGTTGTGCCTACTGAAAACTGAAAAATAAATATTAAAAATATTCTCTCTCTCTTTTAAAAAATATCTGAAACTATAAAATTACTAGAAGAAAACGTGAGAGGAAAACTTTATGACATTGGTCTGGGTAATGTTGGGAGTTTTTGTTTTTGTTTTTGGATATGTTCCAAGGCACAGGCAACAAGAACAAACATAAACAAATGCCATCACATTAAACCAAGAGGCTCTGCACAGCAAAGGAACAGCAGAGTGAAGAGACAATCTATAAACTGGAAGAAAATATTTGCTAATTATGTATCAATATCCAAAAATACATAAAGAGCAGAGAGTGGTTGTGTGTGCCTGTAATCCCAGTTACTCAGTAGACTGAGGCAGAAGGATCACAAGTTTAAGGTCAGCCTGGGAAATTTGGGAAAATCCTGTCTCAAAATAAAAAATAAAAATGGCTAGGGAAGCAGCTCAATATAGAGCATCCCTAGGTTCAATCCCCAGTATGTACCAAAATTTAAAATATATTATGTGTGTGTTTATAAACAGACATGTAACTAAATATATATACCTATATATATCAAGAAACAAATAACCTAATTTAAAAATAATGAAAGGACCTGAATAGACATTTCTTGAAAGAAGACCGATGGCCAATAGGATATGACTCAACATCACTATCAGGGAAATGCAAATTAAAAACTCAATGAGATATCACTTCACACCTGTTAGAATGGCTATTACCCAAAAGAAAAAAGATAGCAAGTGTTAATGAGATATAGAGAAAAGGAATTTTTAAACACCATTGGTAAGAACATAATTAGTCATAATGGAAAACAGTGTAGATGTTTCTTTCTAAATTAAAATAGAACTTTCATATGATCCAACAATTTTACTTCTGGGTATATATTCAAAAGCAATGCAATAAGTACCTTGAAGAAGAGATATGTGTATTCCCATGTTCTTTGCAACATAATTCAAAATAGCCAAGATATGGATCAACCTGTCTATCAACAGATGGATGGAAAAAGAATATGTGGTTTAATATAATACACACTCATGTACATACAAACACACTACATAATGGAATATCTTTCATCCTTAAAGAAGGAAACACTGACAATTGTGATAGCATGAATGAAACTGGTGGGCATTATGCTAAGTGAAATAAGCCAGCCACAGAAAGAATAGATACTGCATGATCTCATTTATATGTGAAATCTAAGAATGTTTAATTCATTGAAGTAGAATAGAATGGTGGTTGCCAGGGGCTGGAGGTTGGAGAAGTGGAGTAATGTTGATTTTTTTTAAAGGTACAACTTTTAAATTAGACAGGATAAAACAAGGTCTAGGAATCTAATGTACATCGTGGTGATTACAGTTAATAATATCAGACTGTATACTTGAAATTTACTAAGAGAGTAGATCTTAAAAAAATTTTTTAGTTGTAGAGGGATACACAATATCTTTGTTTAATAATTTATGTTTTATGTGGTGCTGAGGATCAAACGAGTGCCTCACACATGCTAGGCAAGTGCTTTGCCACTGAGCTACAGCCCCAGCCCCTATCTTCAGTGTTCTTACCACACACACACACACACACATACACACACACACAAACACACACACACACACACATACACATACACACACAGTACCTATGCAAGGTGATAAACATGTTAATTGGCTTGGTTTTGGTATTTCATTATGTGTACATATGTTGAAACATAAAATTTTTAATATATAAAATTTTTACGTGTCAATTATATCTCAAGAAGTCTGGGGGAGAAAAGAATGTAGTATGTGTTGTGTTCTAGAGTCAACTAAAAAGTTTCTTCTTCTTCCCTATGTTTTGTTACATCACCAACTTGATATACAATGAGGTTTTCATTTCAGTTTGTTTTCAGGTTTTTAGGGAGGGACTTCTTTTCAAATATTTTATGTAAGTATTAGTGTTGAAACATTTAAGGGTTTGGAATGTAGCTCAGTGGTAGAGACCTTGCCTAGCATGCATGAGACCCTGGGTTCAATTCCCAGCACCACAAAAAAATAATAAATAAATATTTTAAAACATTTTATAATTACTAAAGTATAAGTTATGTAATAAGATATATTTGGAGATGTCTAATTCCCATCTCTCTTCCTTCCTCACATTCTCTTATTTCATCTTTTCATTAAATTTGCTTCATGTTTTCAGTTTTTTTCTCTCAAATATAAGAAAATTCATTTTTATATTGTATGTTCCCCATTCCTTATAAGAGGTTATATTATATACATTGTGTTGTGCTTTGCTTTCATTTCTACTTAACACTACATATTTGGGTTCACTCTATAGAAATAATTGGTCATTTTCTTTACCCCTTTTACAGCTGCATAGGACTCCATTTTGCTTATATCATTCAAAGTTCAGTCAGTATTCAACTGATAGAAATTGGAATTATTTGGCTATTTTGCTATTAAAATAACAATATAATATGCTACCATGTTATTTTCTATTTTGCCAGTAACTTATTGATATTCAAAGATGAATGTATATTCTATTTTTCTTGCATTTGCATCAATGATGATGATGGGGTTAGGATTCTCTTATGTCAAATGGGAGAGAGATTTTCCCAGATTATGCTCTAGCCTTAGCTCTCAAACCTCTTTCTTTGGGGTTTTGTTTTGCTCCAGATAACAGGACTCAGCTAACTTCCATATCCTAAAACATTCCTCATAAATATTTAAAATATTAGTTTCTGAATTCCATCATGAATAAATAATAAATAAACATGAAAGGTCATGTTTATGACATTTCACAACATGAATTGGCAGAAAGATCTAGGAACCCATGTCAGTTTGTACTCTTGTTTGTTTTTTAAAAATTTTTCTTGTAAAACTGAGTTTTGTCATATAATGATATCTTACCTATGTTCCCTCACAAATAAAATATCTATGTATTTATTCATTTACTGTTGCTTCTTTAATGATTGTATATATATCCCTACCTACTTACTAGGTAATGTTGGCTATAGTTTTTATAAACAATAACTTCAGTTTTAATGTTTAGTTTGTTATATACAGTTCTCTCAATTTTTAAATAAATCCTGTTTAATAATAATATTCAATTCTCAGAAATATATTTCTCTTCCACAACTGTGGAATACATTTTATTTTTTGATGGAAAGAATTTTAAATTTTTAACATTTTGATCCAAATATAGTTTATTATAATTTGTAATATGAAATGTAGACCCAAATTTATTATTCACCATACCAACATCCAATAGGATCAACATTATTTAATAATAGTGTTTCCTTTGCCTGTTGATATTTCCTTCAGCTTGTTTGGTAAGTACTTAAAAATTAGATTTAAGAACTCATAAAAGTAACTTTGCATTTTACAGAGAATTTCATGCAGTTTTAATTTTTTACAGATTTTTTAAATCTTCAACACAGTGAGACAATTTTCAAGGTAATGACTTTCAGCTTTGTTTATTCCAAAAGTTCAGATGCCCTTGGAATTTTTTACTGACACCATACCAAAAGTTTAAAAGTAGTATCAAAGTATTCTTTAGTTGTTTTGTTATGAAGATGCATATCTCTATAAGTAAAGTTTTTCTTGACTTTTGAGCATGGTTTTCCTGGAACATATACTAAGAAGAAGACATTGCAGGTATTCTTGGGCCTTCCCATTTAAAATAAGACATATTTTCTCATATTCTTTTAGATGAAATGGCCTTCCTTAAAAACTTCCTCATAGCTTCTATAACTTCTTTGTTCCTCAGAGTGTAGATGAATGGATTGGCCATTGGAGTAATAACACAGTAAAACAGAGTCAAGACTTTGATAAGGTCTTGGGAACCATCCGCTGAGGGCTGCATATAGATGTAGATCCCAGGCCCATAAAACAAAGACACCACCAATAAGTGTGAGGAGCAAGTGTTGAAAGCTTTAAGTCTCCCAGAAGTGGAAGGGATTCGAAATACAGCTCTGGCAATGTAAGTATAAGAGATAAGAATCATGGAGAGGGGACCCATTATCAGGAGGGTGGCCACTACTGCTAAAATAATCTCATTGATTGTGGTGTCCCCACAAGCCATCTTAATAAGACCAGGCAGCTCACAAAAAAAGTGGTCCAGTACCTGGTTCCCACACAGGGGCAGCTGGAGTGTAAGTGTGGACTGCAGCAGTGAATTAGCCAGTCCAGTGAGCCAAGCAGTGCTGGACAGCTGTAGGCAGAGCTTATGATCCATGATTACAGAGTACCTCAGAGGCTTATACACGGCCACATAGCGATCTAAGGCCATGATACCTAGCAAGATACATTCTGTACAGCCTAGCCAATGAAATATATAGGCCTGGGCCATGCAGCCTATATAAGTGATGTTCTTGTTGGGCCCCCCTAAGTTGAACTGCATTTGAGGTACAGTTGTTGTGGTAAAACAGAGATCCAGAAAGGAAAGATTGGTAAGGAAGAAATACATGGGATTTTGGAGTTGGGAGTCTAGTTGAGAGACCAGAATAATAGCAATGTTTCCCAACAATGTGAACATATAAGACACCAGGAGGACAAAGAAGAGAGGAAAATCCAGCCATGGATATTTGGTAAGGCCCATAAGAATAAAATCCACTGGAAAACTTTCATTCATGTGCTTCATTGAATTTTGAAAGAAGAGACCTGCTAGAATCAAGAAAGAAAAGGGTGATATTAAAAATTCTGAGTTGGCAAAAGTTCTGTAAACACTAGGAAAAATATATGTAATGGGGGAGAGATGGTATATAGAAATCACAAAAATAATATTGAGTAGAATAGTTATTATAATTAGCATTGTAAAGAAATATTTGGGAAGTTTTTTCAATACAGAAATTGTTTCACTTTTTTTTTCTAAATCAAAGCTCTATGCAATAGATTAGTGGATACTAGTTGTCATGTCTTTTCTCTTCGACAAAACAAGCCAGTGGAAGGTGGGCAGTGTATTATTCTCCAGACAGTTAAGTTTAGTTAATTAGATGCTCCTATCCAGGATTAGAACCTAGTGAAATTATGTAGAGGAATGAAGAGAGCGAAAGGGCCTGTCATAAAATCAGAGCAGCTAAATTCCTAATAATGGTTCATGATGACAATACCAAAGGATGTGTCCTACACAGTCCCTTCCTAGGGTAGGAGCTTGTCTGTGTCTTGCTTCTCTTTATTTCTATTTTTTTTTTACCAAATTTTGTTCTTCATTCTTCCCATTGATTCTGTGAACTACCATTCTTCTGATATTTTATTTCTGCTTATGTTATTAGTATTACATTCTTCATTGCCAACAAGACAAATACAGAAAGTGGTACAAGAAAGTGAGTTGAAATATTCTCCAGGTGTCTTGTGAGTCAGGGAACTGATGAAGATAGAATAGGACTCTAAGAATTAGAATGAGAATCTATAGGGCATCCAGAGTATTCAAGATAACCCACCTTCCACCTTCCCCTTGTAGCCAAGGCAGTCTTCCCTTTGATCTGATAAAGTCATTTTGCTTAAAATTCTATACCTCTCAAGAGAATAAAAAGAGAAGCCACATACTTGGAAAATAATATCTGCAAAAGACATATCAGATAAAAACTGTTACAAACATACAAAGAATTCTGAAACTCAATAATAACAAAATAGACAACCTGATTTTTAAAATGGGCCAAAGACTTTTATAGACACTTCACCAAAGCAATACAGATGGCAGATAAGCATATGAAAAGATACTGTACATCATATGTCATCAGAGAAATGTAAATTAAAACAGAAATGAGATACCAGTGCAACTTATTGAAATGAACAAAATTCAGAAAGCTGACACCACCACATTCTGGTGCAGATGTGAAGCAACAGGAATGCCCATTCATTGCTGGTGGGGATGTACAACGGCACAGTCACTTACCAGATAGTTTGGCAATTCTTATAAAACAAAACATAATTTTACCATATGATCCAGCAGTTGCTTGATTTTATCCAAAGTTGAAAAGTTATGTTCACACAAAAACTGGCACACAGATATTTACAGCTGCTTTATTCATACTTGACATAACATGAAAGTAACTGAGAGGTTCTTCAGTGGGTGAGTGGATAAAAAAACTATCATCTATCCAGACAATAAAATATTAAAATTCAGCACTAAAATTAATATACTATATGAAAAGACATGAAGGAAACTTAAATGCATATTAGTAAGTGAGAGAAACCAATCTGAAAAGGCTACATATGGTATGATTCCAACTATGTGACATTCTGTAAAGGACAAAACTATGGAGAAGTAAATTATTCAGTGAATGAATAATTGGAGCACAGGGAATTTTTATGCAGGGAAGGTAATCTATATAATTCTATAATGGTAGATACATGTTATTATAAATTTTTCCAAACCCACAGAATGTACAACACCAAAAGCAAACCCCAATGTAAACTATAGCCTTTGGGTAATGATGACGAGTCCATGTTGTTTCATCAGTTGTAATAAATGTACCACTCTGAAGGGGGATGTTGATAATGGGGAAGTCTATACATGTGTAGGGGCAGGAGGACTATGGCAAATCTCTGTACCTTTTGCTCAAACCTAAAATTCCTCTAAAAAATAAAGTTTGGAAGAAAAAAAGGTTATTCTTACTCATTGAGAGGAATATAGGCTAAAAGGAAGCCAGTTCTCCTCAAAACCCTCTCCATAGTAAACAAGGTTAAAACCCTCCAAGTAAACAAGATTAAGTTCTAGCAGGCATTGTCAAGGTTAATTAAAAGACAATCCTGAAGAAATAATACATTTTTTAAAATTGCAGGATTTTACTAGTTTAGGACAGAGATTTGGAGACTCCTATATGGCAATGAATTCTGAGATTGTCTAACCAAAGAAATTAGATACAAATTTATCATAACCAGAGATACCTGTTTTTATTTACTGACTGAATCTATGAAGTAGTTTTAATTGATTTTATTTTCTGTTAGATGGCTAAAATATGTCTTAAAGTATGTTTATTTGCCGGAACTCCTTTAGTGTATGATAAAGTTATGGGTAATATTTATGTTAAGTCAATTAATGTGAGCAGACTGTGATGACAAGATTATCATTATATTAAGCCCAAGAAACTCTTCTGACTGATTTTACTCAAATTTGCTTGTTATTTTTTTTCTTTTTGGTCACCTATAAACAAATCCATCTACACTTCATTATTTCATTTCAGTCTTATAGGATTTTGCCTTTATGCACTTATTTAAGCTATTTCATCTTCATTTTATAAGGTTTAATTAAAAAATTCAAAATATGTATTCATCTCTCTTATTTTCATAGATTTTGATTCTGTAAGCCTTTGCTGGACCCAGGAATTGACATTTCCAGCCAGTATTTCAGATGATTCAAATGACCTTTGGATCACACTTTAAGAAATATTTATGCCTTAGGAAATAATTTATTCAATAAGAATACTTTAATACCTATTATGTATTATTGACTATTCTAGGTGCTGAAGATATTTGCTCTACATCTCCTCTACCTCCCACCTAGAAAAAATTATTTTTTGAGCACTTCATATCTGAAGAACAAGGTAATAACTACAAGAAATGACACAAAAGAAATAAGATGTATGAAAATTAACATACCGATAATTACCAAAACATAACTGTAGTCTTAAGTTCAAAGAATATATTGGTTAACTATCCAGTTATTTATTTTTATATTCACTCATTAAATTAATGTTACTTGTATGTCTACCCACTTTAGTGCACTGTGTTAAGCACCATAGGACAAGAAAATCAGACAGATCTATCATCTGTTCCAAGAAAACTCTACACCAGGACCTCTCTTCAGGTACTAAATATCTAATAATAATTAAAAATGTGCTAAGTGTGTGGTGCAGTAGCATACATCTGTAATCTCAGCCACTTGAGAGGCCGAAGCAAGAGGATTGCTAGTTTGAGGCTAGACTCGGCAATTTAGTGAGAACCTAAGCAACTTAGTAAAACCCTGTCTCAAAATAAAAATTTAAAAGGGTTGAGGATATAGTTCAATGTTAAAGCCCCTCTGGGTCCAATCCCTAGTTGTTGTTGTTTTTAAAGAATGTGCTAAATTTCATCCTAGATGTACAGAAGTAAAAGATAAAGAGTATTTGGAGATGCAAGAAGTTACTTGTAGGTAAAGATCTAGAAGGTGGTGGAATCATGGAAATAAGATCTTGAGAATTGGACCTGGATTTCAGGTAAATATAGCCTATGCATTTGTCTCCACCTATTAAAATGTCACTAAAAGGGTAAAATAGGTACAACTCATAAAGAAAAAGAGAATGAGAAAGAAGATAGCAAGAAAAGGGGTGGGAGGAAGCAGTGCAATTCAGAGAGATGCCAAGCAAACCTGGAAGGACAAAGGAATCAGAGGACCCAGACCCCCGAAAGTGATGGGTGTGATATGGAATTGAAAACAAGAAGATTGCCTGAGAGACTGTATTAAAAACAGAGCTCCGGACCCCCAAATTCTTTCACACTATCAGGTAACTCTGCTTCTCACCTACCCTGGAAGAAGTCTGAACTAAAGGCACTCTGGACTTGGGGACACCAGGCAAACCTAAGGACAAGAATAAAAGAAAACAATGAAATTGGAACTATTAAGTGGCAGTTTGCTTATCAGTTTCTGAGACACTCAATTCTCAAGCCCTCTCAATTATCACTACATTGATAGTCATGCCTACACAAGCTGCACAAGATTTTGGAGGACTTGTAATTTGAGAAACAGTGCTTGAAACAACCTACAATTTCAAATAAAGATTTTTAAATGAAAAGCTGCATCCATACTTAATAACCCTATAGTGAAAACCATCCAACACCAGGCTCTATATATTCACCTGTTAGCTAATAATTAGCATTTTATTTTATTTTTTAAGTGTTTTTAAAATTTTCAATGGACTTTTATTTTGTTTATTAATCTATTTATATGTGGTGCTGAGAATCAAACCCAGTGCCTCACACATGCTAGGCAAGTGCTCTACCACTGAGCCACAAACCCAACCCTAATAATTAGCATTTTAATGTCTCACTTTGAAATATGAACAGGTCAGGACAACCAAATATCTGAGGAAAGCTTCTAATTAAAAAGACAAAAACAGGGACTGGGGTTGTGGCTCAGCGGTAGAGCACTCACCTAGCATGTGTGAGACACTGGGTTTGATCATCAGCACCACATAAAAATAAATAAATAAAATAAAGGTATTATGTCCAACTACAACTAAAAAAATATTTAAAAAAAAAACCAGCCGGGTGCAGTGACACACACCTGTAATCGCAGAGGCTCAGGAGGCTGAAGCAGGAGGAGTACAAGTTCAAAACCAGCCTCAGCAACAGCAAGGTGCTAAGCAACACAGTGAGACCCTGTCTCTAAATAAAATACAATATAAGGCTGGGGATGTGGCTCAGTGGTTGAGTGCCCCTGAGTTCCATTCCCGGTATACCTCCCCACCCCACCAAAAAAACACATGGTTAAAAAAATAACTCAAATATAACAGAGACCCTTGTAGAAAGGAGAGGACATGTGAGGACACTGCAACAATGAAACATGAATAAAATCTCTAGAAATGTGAGTGCTATTTATAGAATATGAAATCATAGTTTAAAGTAAGAATATTTTATAAATAAAAGATTAAATAAAATGAC